CTCTCTCTCTCTCTCTCTCTCTCTCTCAGTATTCTACTTTCATTTATCTGCAATATTTTTTATTTCTTTAGTTTTCCTTTGCTTTTTTGCAGGACAGGGGATTAAGCCCAGGGCCCTTTACCACTGAGCTTTATCCTCAGCCCTTTCTATTTTTTTACTTTGGGATCAGGTCTTGCTAAGTTGTCCAGGCTGGCCTCAAATTTGTTGATCCTCCTGCCTCAGTCTCCTGAGTATCTGGGATTACAGGGAGACTCTCAGAGGAAATTTAAAACACTGCCAAAAATGAGTTTTGAGGTTCTTGCAATAATGGGGACTGAACTCAGGACCTCTGCACTGAGCTACATCCCCAATCCTTTTAAATTAAATTTTATTTGATTTTTTAAAATCTTGAGACAGTCTCACTAAGGCACTAAATTGCTCAGGCAGGGCTCAAACTTATGATCTTCCTGCCTCAGCCTCTCAGAGTGCTGTGATTATAAGCGTGCACTACTGCACACAGCAATGTTGAGACTTTAATAAGCCATCATATTATTGTCCTTAAGCTGTGTTCCTTGTCACTGCAGAAAAAGGATTTCAGGCCTGACTGTGGTGTTTACAAACCAGAAATACAACTTGCAAACCCAGGAGTGCTATTCCTGTTAAAAGAACATAAATTATTTTGAAAAAGATACAATCCGGAGTGGAGCTCTAGATTCTAAGACTCTTCTCTGGCTTAGAGGAGAAGGCACTGGTGAGAAAGTTGCAGGTCTTTTCCTAGGTCAGTGGTGGAGGATTTCTGAGGAGAGAAGCTCCATCCCTGCCACAAAAGCAGTGAAAGGAAGAGGTCCCTGTACTTGGCTCTGTGTCAGGGGTTACAAGGCCCTACCTGAATCAGCCCAGTCAGAAACGATGTGGCTGCCACCACACTTAAGGACTTGTTGTAGTTGTCAAAGTAGGAAGGGACAGTAAAGTCATCCTTGAGGAACGTTCCCAAGAGCAGGTGGCCTTCGTTGAATGGCTTCTCCTTCAGGACGTTGATCATCAGGGCACTCACGAGGAAGAAGGGGCCTGTGGAGAGGATGTTAGGCGAAGGTCAGAGTTCGAGTCCATGCAAGCGGACAGACACTGAAAGAAAAAGCAACACATGGTCTGATAGCGCGTGGGTTCTGATCTGAGGCACACACTTGAAAGGGGCCACTGAGAAGAAAGAAAGAGCAAGGAAGAGAACCGAGATCCATACCTTGTGACTGACTCCCAGGATTTAGATGCTACGTCCAGCTATGGAGTCTCTATGGACCATGGACATGCGGAGTGGAATTCAAAGAGAAATGGGCTAGAGAGAGCTATGAGCCTCAGCCACTGTGGCTGCCCTTAGAGAGAGTGAGATGGTAGCCAAAGGATCATAAGCCAAAGCTACAATAATAGGAACAGCATTCCTGCAACCCCAGCACTCTAGGAGGCTGAGGCAGGAAGACTGCAAGTTGGACTCCAGCCTGTACCATTAAGCAACTTAGGGAGACCTTGTTTCAAAAGAGGAAAGAAAAAGGGGCCGGGATGTAGCTTAGTGTGAAGGCCCTGAGTTCACGGTGGTTGCCAGTACGAAAAAAAGAAAGAAAGAAAGAGAAAGAAAATAATAATACTTTTGAAAATTTACCATGTGCAAGGTGACACTGAGCTGACCCTGTTGCAAAGAGTAATTCACTTAATTTTTGCACTGTTGGGCACACATGGGAGGGCAAACACAAATCTTACCTTTAAAGTATCGGCAACAAAAGCTTGACCAGCCCTTACTATCAGCATTCGGAAATGATCGAGGTGCCCAGGAACTTGGGGTTATGGGGATAAAACTGTTCCCTTGGTGTCCAGATGTAAAATCAACACATGATAGCTTTGAGTAAAGTAGGCAGTGTCGCCATTTATGTATTTATTCATTTATTTTTGTGGTACTAGGGATTGAGCCTAGGACCTTCATACCGAGCTATATCCCCACCCCTTGTAAGCTTTTTAAAATTTTGAGACAGGACCTCACTAAGTTGCTAAATTGCTCAGGCTGGGCTTGAACTTGGGCTCCACCTCCTCAGCCTCCCAGAGTGCTGGGATGACAGTAGGCAGATGCCCCATGCCCAGCTCAGTGTTGCCTTTTAAACAGGCAGAGGAACACTCCACAGACAGGAGGCAGGGGTTCAGCCAGGCAGAACACAAACACCTGCAGAGAGCATGTTCCTGGGGTTGCTCACGATCAGTGGCCCGGTCAGGTGTAGAGTGGGGACGTCCAGGAGAAAGCTCCTCACCGAGTGAACGTTGGCAATGCCTTCCACGCCTCTTGGGCATTTTGTGATTTGATTTCTGTGCCGGTTCCCCTAGGTTACGTAAATGTACCGATTGCACGACCTTCAACTATTCTGGTGCCCGTGATGGTCATTTCTAATTATACATTAGTACGTGGACTTCTGACTCCGAGAGGGAAAGGGCTCATCCTGTGGACTTGAGTGTTCTGGTTGCAGACGTTCCTCATTTCAGGACCTACTGTTTAACCACTGTTTGGACTTAGGACTTGGTGCTCAGACTTAGGATCCGTCCTTTTGTGTGTGTGTGTACAGTTCTGTACATCTTGTTGTTAAAGCCTCAATGTCTTTTTTTGTACAGCACACCTGTTTATGCGGCCCTGTAATTTGTGCTGACTGCACGGTACAGCACAGCACTGTAGTTTTATGTCCTGTTATACATTACAGTACTGCATGGAAGTTATGCAAACAAAACCAAGGTCATCAAGGTGGAGTGTCCTCTGGCCATTCCTTTGTTCTGAACATTGCAATGTACATACTCAGATAATTCCTCCTTTAGCAACAAAATAATTTCTTTCCTTAAATTATTTTATTGGTACATTTTAGGTATACGATATGTTTACATTAATCTTTGGGTGCTTGTACTTGTACATGATGTATCTTGGTTTTCATTTTTTCCCCCGTTACCTGTGCACCCCTTACACCCTCCACCCTTCCCTATTTACCTAGACTTCGTTTCCATTTTTTGACAAAATAATTTAATGACCTAGTTTCAGGAGCTGAACTCGGTCATTAAATGAGGAATGCCTGTACTCTGCCAGCATTTTCTCCTTGTAAATTAATAAACTGTCAAGCTGTACGGTAAGCCAGCCCCATGGAGCTTGGCTACAGGTCCAGCTAAAAAATGCATCTACTCTCGGAGTACTGGCCAAACTAGTGTTGGATTTTCTGGGCTGAGGGCAGACAGATTGCAGTGTGTGGCAATTTCACCAAGGAAACTTCCCACTGGCCTTTAATCCCTTTGGGAAACAGCTCGCTGGCTTGTTTTTCTGGTAGTGACATTAATAATGACATACGAGGAGAAGTATTTATTTCTACAATCTGAACATCAGCCACCTGGACAGAATGTCCAACTTCTGCTGCCTTTCTTAAACACACCTTGAAATCTGATTTCTCAACAGTAAGTAAATGATTGAGGTAGAAACTTTATCTGCCACCTGTGGTTCTGTACTGAACTCACCAATGGACATTTGATGACATGATCCAAAAATTACGTACACTATGGAGGAACAGAAAGCTGCATAGGCGACATTGAGAGGGGGAATCAGTTGCCTCGTCAGCAAACTAAGTACCAGACCTGAAAAGCAAGATAATTCAAGTAAGAAAAGGTAGCTTGGCTTTTAAAGTCACTCTAAATAAAAACTGTAAAGAAGGTTAGAATAAAAATGATGAGTGTGAAGCCGGATATGGTGGTACATGCCAGTAATCACAACTACTCGGGAGGTTGAGGCAGGAAGGTACTGAGCTAGAGGCCAGCCTGGGCAACTTAGTGAGAAACCGTCACAAACAAAACCACAAGGCCCAAGTCATGTGTATAGGTGACTGAGGATGATGGTGATAACAGTATCCTTTTACCTTAATTAATACCTTGTATCATTTCTCATTCTTACCTTCTCTTGCTTTTATGTCTCAGGATTTTTGTTTGATTGTTTGTTTTTGGTACTGGGGATTGATCTCAGAGCCTTCTCACTGAGCTACATCCCAGCTCTTTCTTATTTTTTATTTTGAGATAGGGTCTCTCTAAATTGTTAAGTTGCCCAGGGTAAGCTCAAACTTGCAACCCTCCTGGCTCAGCCTCCCGGAGTGCCAGGATTACAGGCATGTGCCAACCACGCCCACTTCTGTTCTTTATCCTGGGCTTTGTCCCAGCTCTCACTCAAGGTCTTCTTTTGAGACCTGGAAAGCCAACACCGCAATGGTAAGGTCCAACTCTAACATCTCAGAAGCAGCCCCATGCCCAGCCCTGGGGGAAACCCTAGGGAACTGGGGGCGGAACTGGTGCTGGACTGACTTGGGCAGGGTGATGGATACTGTCCACTCCTTGCCAGCCCTCACTTTCTTTTCTCAGAGGCACCGAGATAGTTTGGAATCTCTTAAGCAAATGGACTAAGGTGCATGGTGTCAGGCTTTGGATGTTTTTAAGCCCGCATCTCTTACCTTGAGGGCTTTTCCTCAACTTACATTTCATCTAATTTTATTTATGAGTCTAGTGAGCTGGGTTATTATCTTACACAAGAGACTTTTTTTTTTCCTGGTACCGGGGATCGAACTCAGGACCTTGTAGGAGGTGGCACTGCTGAGCTAAATCCCTGGCCCACCACTCAATTTTCGGGGACCCCTGATTGCCTCATAAATGGTGGTTGTGGTAGAGTAGCAGGCCCCTACCTTTTTTTTTTGACACCAGAAACTGTTTTGTGGGAGACAATTTTTTTTTTTTTTAGTTTCTTTTTTTATTGCTATATGTTTTCGATACATGGTGATTACCCAGCGCTAGCACTGCTGCCTCAGCTCCGCTTCGGCTCATGAGGCGTTAGACTCTTGGAAGGACCAGGCAACCTAGGGCTCACATGCGTGGGTCACAGTAAGGTTCACGCTCCTGTGAGAATCTCAGGCCCCCGCTGATCTGGCAGGAGCCGGAACTCGGGCGGGAAGGTGAGGAAAGGGCAGCCACAAGCCTATTGGTTGGTGCCACCCACATCCAGGGTGGGCCTTTATTAGCCACACCCACAACCATGCTGACCCGATTTAGTCATCACACACCCTTGATCCCAGCATCACACATCCATGATCCAGCTGCCTCCCCAAAGCCCCACCTGTGAGCACATGAGGGTTTTGGGGAGCAGCTAGACACAAGCCATGACAGCTGCAAAAACAAACTATGGCGAAGATACCTAGAAGGGGGATGGCTGGGTCCTATGAAATTTCTAATTTTAGATCTCTGGGGAATCTCCATGTGATTTTCATAATGGTTGTATTGGTTTACCTTCTAACCAACAGTGTAGGAGGGTTCCTTTTTCATCACAGCCTCACCAGGATTTGTTATTTTTTTGATTTCTTGATGACTCCCATTCTTTCTGGAGTATGATTGAATCTCAGCTTTGTTTTCATTCACATAGTTTAAAACAGCATAGTTTTACAGCATAGTGATACATGTATACAATGTTTATAACAGCACAATTCATAATGGCTAAATGATAGAAGCAGCCTGTGTACCCATCAACAGGTGACCAGAGAAAGAAAATGTGATGTCTGTACATAATGGAATACTACTCAGCTATAAAGAAGGACAAATTTGAGACATTTGTAGGAAAATGGATGCACCTGGAAAATATGTTGAGTAAAATAAACCAGACACACAAGCTTAAATACCGTATGGGATCTCTCATTTGAGTAAGGCCAAGGGCAAACAAAAAGATTAGTAAAGGATGGATAGCGGGGACAAGGGGGTGGATCTCTTGCAAATGGGAAGGGGTCCAAGAAATCAAGGGTGAGGGCTGAGGCGAAGGGGAAATAAGTAGAATTAAGATATTCCATGTATAGGGACCTAATAACCTCAATGACGGAAACATTATATGCCTTGAGCATGAGCTAAGACTAATAATAAGAAGAGTGAAAATGGGGAAAGGGAAATTAGAGAAGGAGGTGGGCGGGAGGGAAAGGGAATTTTAAAAAGAAACACATTGTATTATGTCCATGCACCCACTCCCCAGGATGACTGTAAACTGCATGTGCTGCAAACACATATTATGGAAAAAACCCTACAACTTCGATTTTGGTTGCTCTTTGGCTCTTTCTCATCCAGCTTACCAGCCTCCAGGGTTGGCCTCCAAGGTGCTGACCTGTGTGGTCCCATGGCATCGGGGCTTAGGAGGCCTCATGCTTGGTTTAGTGCTCTGCTCTCATGGTATGGAGGTTCTGAGCAAGCAAGACCCAGGGGCCCTGCATTTGCATTTCGTATTGGAGCCCAGACAAGTAGCGGCCATGTGGGAAGGGACTCAGCAGCTGCAGGGAAGCAGGATCCCGTGGGGCAGAGCCCGGTCAGCAAACACCAGGCAGGGCCTGAAAGAGGAGCAGCTCAGTCTGTCAACAGCCCCAGGACCAAGCCTGGAAACAGATCCTCAGCCTCAGCAGCCCCTTGTCATGCCCACAGCTTGAGGCGACCTCTGGGGAGAACTGGAATTGGATGTATGGTGTGTTTTGTCCTGTTATGTGCCGTGCTGTTTTACCATCTTCGTGTTTAAATCAGGACCCTAAACTCGGTCCTCGCTTGGGTTGATATATCTCTTTGTTCTCTGACAATCTACAAGTTCCCTTCATATTTTGTTGTTGTTGTTGTTAAGCAAGTTTCTTCTGATTGGGGCCAGTCCTCGTGGTGCACCTTTATAATCCTAGCACTCAGGAGGCTGAGGCAGGAGGATCACCATGAGTTCAAGGCCAGCCTGGGCTACATAACAAGACCCTCTCTCTTCAAAAAAAAAAAAAAGTTTGCACTGATTGCAAGAAACAGAAAACATGCTCAACTTGGCATAAGCAAAATAAGAAATGAGGGCCAGGGATCTAGCTCAGCGGTTCTGCCGCCTGCCTCACAAGTGCAAGGACCCAAGTTAGAGTTCGATCCCCAGTACCAAAAAAAAAAAAAAAAAGGAAATGTATTGAGTGTCCAAAGTCCAAGTTCCTCAAGATTACAACTTCTTCAGTTTCCTTCATTATAACTTCTGGGGCATTTTTTAGAGAATGTCAAACTGCTTTTCCAAATGTTTGCACAATTTAAACTCCAAGCAGCAATGAATAGCAGTTCCCATGGTTCACATCTGTGCTACAGCACATGGTAAGGCCAGATTTTTAATTTTAGTGTGTATGGTGGCAATTCATTTTAATTTTAAGCTCTCCATTAATTATTGATAATGTTCAGCATCCTTTTCTAGTTAGTTCTTTATGGATTTTTAGGAGCACAAATAAATCCTCTGATATATATATCTCAAATATCTTCTCCCATTCTTTCAGTCTCTCTCTCTGTCTCTGTCTCTCTCTCCTTCTCTGTTTCTCTCTCCTTGGGGTCAAACACAAGACTTTACATATGCTAGGCAAGTGCTGTACTACTGAGCAATAGCCTTGGCCCTTTCTATCTTTTTTTTGGTACCAGGGATCGAACTCGAGTCCTTGGGCTTATGTACCAGGTGGAGAAACCACTGAGCTAAATCCCTAGCCCACAGCCCTTTCTATCTTTACAGTGGCTTTGAATAGGCAGAAATTCTAAAATTTTACTTAATTTAATTTATAGTCTTTTCCTTCAGGCCTTTCCTTTTGCTTTTTGTATTTGGTTTAAGAACCTCAAGATCATGAAGATACTCTCCTATATTATTTAAAAGTTCTTGGGGCTAGGGATTTAGCTCAGTGGCTTCGCTCCCTGCTGCGCAAGTTCAAGGACCCGAGTTCGATCTCCGGCACCCAAAAAAAAAAAAAATTCTTTATTGTTTTGTCTTTCACAGTTAAGTCTTTAATCTACCAAGAACACATTTTCGTACATGGTATGAGATAGCTATCTAAAATAATTTTTTCTTATTTGAATCCAATTGTTTCACATTGTTTACCATTAAAAGCGTGTTTTTGTAGTGACATATCTTATACAAATCAGGTGATTCATATATGTGTCACTTTTCTGTCCCATTGTGCTAATTGTCTCTCTGTGCAATACCACGCTGTCTTAACTGCTTTTTGAGTAATTTGTTTAGTAATAGTTTTAGGAATTAATTTAATTATCCCCATCTCATTGTGAATCATAACACATCTATGGAAAATAGATTAAAATAGTTGTGCTCAGCAATAAAAAGGAACAAACTGTCGATACACAGAGTCTGGATGGATATCAAAAGCATAATGCTAAATGAGGGAAGTCAGCCTTCCAAAGTTGCACACTGTATGATTCCATTCACATGACATTCTCAAAGACAGAACCGTGGGACTGGAGACCACAGCAGTGGTACTCGGGTGGAAGGTCTGGGGAGGACCAGACTATAAAGTGAGATTTGGGGGTGGTGGAACTTTCCTGTGTCCAGTGTGGTGGAAGTTTTACAAGTGTGTGTTAAGGTTCATGGAACCATACATCAAAAGAAAAATGTAAAGAAGTTGTTGTCTTTTTTTTTTTTTTGGTACTGGGGATCGAACTTGGGTCCTTGCACTTGCAAGGCAGGCGGTGGGACCACTGAGCTAAAGCCCCCGCCCTGTTGTTGTTTTAAGACAAGGTCTTGCTATGTAGCCCAAGGTGGCCTTGAACTCAAGGTGATCCTCCCTCCCGAGTGCTGGGATTACAGGCATGCGCCACCATGCTGGGCTAAAAAAGTACAGTTTATTGTATGATAATTTATAAATAGGTAAATATTCCATTTAATTTCCCAATTAATTTCCCTGTGCCAGAGTTGTATTTTAAGCATTGCTTGCCTATTTGGTTGGTCTCCTTCTGGGGCCAGGATGTAGCTCAGTGGTGCCTTGCCTGCCTGGCAAGCGCAAGGTCCTGAGTTCGATCCCCAGTACGGGTTGCGGGGAGGGGGCAACCCTCTTGGTTGGTCTCCTTTTTGCACAACCTGCATAGTCACAAGGTTTAGTCCTGCAAGTGGGCCCCAGAAGAACACAGCAATGGAGGTGTTTAGACTCTGTGGGGGTGTAGCTCAGTGGCTGAGCACTCACTTCCCTAGTCTGCACACACACACACACACACACACACACACACACTCACACTCACACAGAATTATGAAGTCCCCTTTGTGGACAAACTCCGTTTCAGGTAAACTTTCTCCTGTTTCCCTGGAGATGTGGTAGCAGGAGAACGTCAGCCATGCTACCTGGCAGAGTTGCTTATGGTGAAAATGATCCCACTTAATACACTCCATCTGGAGCAGGAGGAGTGTGCAGGGAAGATAAACATTCACAGGAGGCCTGAGCTCTGGGCTCCCCTGAGCAGAGAAGAGACTCCTGGAACTTGGTTCCTTGTGGGGCTCTGGAAGTGACACGCAGGCCGCTGTTAGCAGACTATGGTGTGGGAAATGAGATTCCCAAACCCAGACAGCTGCCACTCCCACCGTGCGGCCTTGTCTTACTTCTGCACTGGCCCCTGGGCTGTCACCTGCTGGAGAGATACCAGCATGCTGTTTCCCAGCCTTTGCCTTTCTAAGAAAAAAGCAATGCCAAGTGAGATCTATTGCAGCCAGGAGTAAGATGTGACTGGTGAAACCAAAACATGAGCCAGAGGAGGGGCGGCAGCTACTCTGCGAAGCAGCCCAGGCTGTAAACCAAACCAAGTCTTTCGGCTGCATCCCAGAAGGGTTAGAAATCTGCCAGTCCAGGGAACGAATGGTAACTACGTGAATGAAATTCTCCTTTTTCTGTTCATCTGGCTCGAGTCATTGTTTGCTCTGCACAGGGGTTAAGAGCCAACAAACTGTCTTGGGGTTGCAAGGCTTTGCACCTTTCTTACCTTGCGGAACCTGCACGAGGCCAACACTTAAGCCAGCAAGTAAATCTCCAAGAAGGCAGTCCATGAATCGATACAGACACATCCATTCCAGGAAGGGAAAGATAGTAACCATGCATCTCAGGAACTTGTGCCAGGAGCAGCTGAGAGAAAGGAGAGCAGAGACTTGATTGGGTTGTCAGGGAGGGGCCCTGCTGTGCTGTTGGACGCAAGGGTTCTCTGCTCTGGGGTGGCCCTGTGCCCTGAGGGTGTTCAGTGGCATCGCTGGCCTCTGTCTGTCCACTAGATGTCAGTAGTCCCTGCTCCCCCAGTTGTGGCCATCAACCTTGAGAACCAGTGCTGTGTGCACGGCAAGAACTAAAACGGGTGTGTGCAGTATACAATGACTTTCTTTCTGTCTTTCTTTTTTTGTTTTTTGACTCAGGGTCTTGCTATGTACTCCAGCCTGCCCCTGAACTCACTGTGTAGCCCAGGCTAGGCTTGAACTTGTGGTGATCCTCCTGCCTCAGCCTCCTGAGTGCTGGGACTATAGGCGTGTGCCACCCTGCTTGGCAACTTTCTTGTTTTTATTAAATATTTGAAAAGAATAAAGCTTACTAATTTCTAGTAGAAAATGAATTGCTATTGCTTTCTCCTGCTAAGGACAGATTTTTGGGTGTGATTTTGATGGCTGGGGAGCAGTTCACACGTTCACCTCATTCTCATATAATACAATTTTTACCAGATATTAACTCTGTGGGCTTTGATTTGTGGTACATAGAAATTTATAGAAAATATAGAATATGGCATCTTTAATGACACAGAGGCTTGAGGAGTTAGTCATGTAAAGAAAAGACTTTATACATATAATTTTAATTGATACTTACATCAAATATATCTATAATTGCAATTATAAATTATACTTTATAATGTATATACTTTTAAAGGTTTTAACCCAGTACATCTCAATCAGGGGTAGCTTTGTTCCCAGGGGATAACTGGAACGTTGAGACAGTACAATTCTCATGAGTGGCATCTAGCAGGTAGAGGCCAGGAATACCGCTAAATATTCTATAATGGACAAGACATCTCTCCTAAAGAGAGAACTTTCTGGTCCCAAATGTCAGTGTTTGGCCAGGTATGGCGGTGCACACCTGTAGTCCCAGCACTTGGGAGGCTGAGGCAGGAGGATTTCTGCAAGTTCAAGGCCAGCCTGGACTACATAGCTAGATCCTGTCTTAAAAAACAAAAAACAAAACAAAAACTCAGTGTTTAAAGCAATGCTGCACCAGCCATTCAGGAAGTGGAGGCAGATCACTTGAGCCCGTGACTTCAGTCTGGGCAACATAGCAAAACCCTGACTCAAAAGAACAACGACAACAAAACAAAACAAGACAACATTGCTGAGCCTGAAAAAACCTGGTTTCACCTTTAGATCTTCTAAAAGAGCAGCATCACCACCAATCAATCAGCAAAACCAATTTGGTTTGAAACTGCCTTTTGCTATTTACATTTCGGTGTGGGCTAAAAGCAGAGAATATGAAGATTTTCTTTCACTAGTGAGCTGTGTTAGATCATTGGGATTTTACTGCTACAGCAAATGTAGCTTTAGTGGACGCAGTGCTAAAATCTGTGCTCAGGAAAGAAGGCATCGCTTTCTCTAAGATCCTCAGGGCCACACACTAGGACTCCTCCAAGGTCACAGCAGTGAATGTGAGCACCACTGGGGACGGAAGCCAGGTCTTCTGGCTCCCAGGTCAGTGCTCTGTCCTCTCCACTACCTCGTCATGCCTACCGACAGCTGTTAGATGCTGCTCAGGAGCCAGGAGCCAGAACACTGGCTGGAAAGAAACATCACATTGCTATTCTTATGAGAGTTCCTGGGCTGGAGGCTGCACAGAGAGACGGGATTAGAGAGAGCGACCATTGCCTCAGACCTGGAGCCCTGCACTGGGATTTGTTCTTCCTCGGTGCAGGGTCCCCTGCTCACCATGTGCTGCTCGGCTGACGGCCAGCCACCCTGTGCATTCATCAAGGTTCTTTGGCTTGGGAAAAAGTCAAGTGGAAATGGAGGAATGAGGGAGGACCAAGGGCGAAGGGGATCGAGGAAGGGGCTGAGGAAGGGAAATTGAAGATGAGGGGGAATAGGCTGAGCATTTTGACATGAATTTGCATTTCAGTTCAGGCCTCTCTGGAATGAGGATGTAAGAGTTGATGCGAAGGAACAGATTTTAACATAAAAGGGAATATTTGCTGTTGCTAAGAGGAAGAAAATGAGGAAGGAGATAAGAGGTTTTTGCAGAAAGGAAGAGATGGAGTTAAAAGATTATTTTATTTACTAAGAAAACCCCACTTAGCTATTGCTACCTAGGTACTTCACAATTATTTATTCTTTAAATCCTTGTGATCACCTTTTGAGGTAGGTGTTACTATCGTACCCATTTTACAGCTGAGGAAAGGAAGGCCTAGCACAGTAGGAGAGCTCAAGTAAAGTCATATAGCTGGGAAGCAGCAGGAATAGGATTCAAAACTAAGCAGCCTTGGGCTGGGGTTTGGCTTGGTGGAAGAACACTTGCCTAGCTTGTGAGAGGCCTGGATTCCATCCCTAGTACCACAAACAAACAACAAAAACTAAGCAGCTTGGATTCAGGGTTGTGGTTATTTTAAACTACCTTTCTGGTTAAAATTCAGAAATGGAGGGAACTGTGTGTTTTTTGTTTTTTGGTACCGGGGATCGAACTCAGGTCCTTGAGCTTGTGCAGCAGGCAATGAAACCACTGAGCTAAATCCCCAGCCTGGAACTGTGTTTTTGAAGTGGAGAATATAAAAAGAAGGAAATTAAAAAAGAATTTAAAAATTTTTTTTCAAAACTAGGAGGAAATAAGTACAGCTATCAAAACCTCTAGGAGGCAGCATAGCGCCCAGGTAACAAGGCCAGGGCAGGTGGAAGGGGCCACACTGAAATTTCTTTAATGATCCTGGTTTGTTTGTGATGAGGGTATAGCTAGGAAAAGAGTATCATTTTGTGGAAATGAAGCGAATGGGGAGAAATGTACTCCTGGACCGTATCCTCTTTCTCACCCGGGAGCAGGAGAAACAGGAGTGGTAACAGCACTGGCGAGGGATATTCAAGAGCTGGACTTGCAGCAGGCAGGACACAAACAAAGGAGGCCTCGGCACCAAGGGCCTTCCATGCTGTTACCGATATGTGCCACTTATGGGTGACAAACCAAGGGATGAGCGGGACTGACAAATCCAGAGTGTGACCGAGGACAACTTGAGTACTTAGGGTTAGTGTCATTGTGTGTGTCTCAAAGGATTCTTTTTTGTTTTTGGTACTGGGGATCGAACTCAAGTCCTTGAGCTTGCGAGGCAGGCAGTGGAACCACTGAGCTAAATCCCCGGCCCAAAACTGTTTTTGTTTTTGTTTTTGAGACAGAGTCTTGCTATGTAGCTTAGGCAGGACTCAATTTTTTTTTTGCCTCAAATTTGTAGCAATCCTCCTGCCTCAGCCTCCTGAGTGTGGGATTACAGACGTATGTCACCACGCCCAGCTAGTTTTCTTTGTAATTCTATTTATTTTATATATTAGATTATTCTGACCAAGACTCTTCAATGGGAAAAAATAGTCTCTTCAAAAAATTGTGCTAGCCGGGGTTTTCACTCAGTGGTTTCACCGCCTGCCTCACAAGCACAAGGACCCGAGTTTAATCCCCGGTACCAAAAAAAAAAAAATTGTGCTGGGAAAACAGAATATCTACATGCCAAAGAATGAAGTCGAGGGCTGGGAATTTAGCTCAGGGGTTTCACCGCCTGCTGCGCAAGCGCAAGGACCCGAGTTCGATCCCCGGTACCAAAAAAAAAAAAGAATGAAGTTGAAACCTTACTTTATACTATAAACAAAAAATTCAAACAGGATCAAAGATCCAAATTTAAGAGCTAAAACTATAAAATTGTTAGAAGAAAACACAGAGGAAAATACACATGACCTTGGATTTGACAGTAGTTTTCTAACTATAACTCCAAAAATCCAGGCAATAAAAAAAATAGTTAAATTGGATTTTATCAAATTAAAAATGGGCATCAAACTATCAACAGAGAGAAAAGACAACCTACAGAATGAACAAAAGTAGTTATAAATGATAGCCAGAATATTTAAAGAACTCCTACAACTCAGCAATAAAAAGACGAACAACCTAGTTTGTTTTTTTTTGTACCGAGGATCGAACTTGGGACCCTGCGCTTTCGGGGCAGGTGCTGGAACCACTGAGCTAAATCCTCAGCCCACAACCTAATTTTTTTAAAGGACAAAGGAAATGAGGAGACATTTCTCCAAAAAAGATACACAAGTGACCAATAAGCACAAGAAAAGTTGCTCATCATCCTTAGTCATTAGAGAAATACAAACTAAAACAAAACAAAAACTACAGTGAGATACTGCTTCATACTAAGATGTCTGTGATCAGAAAAAATTGGGAAAATAACAAACACTGGAGAGGGTGAAGAGAAGCTGGAGTCCTTGTACATTTCTGGTGGGAATGTAAAAGGGTGAAAGCAGAGTGAAAAAGTTTGTCAGTTTCACAAAATGTTCAACATAGAGTTACCAGATGACCTGGCAGTTCTAGGAATCGAAAACAGATTGGGTGTGTTGGCTCACTCCTGTGATTCCAGCACTCTGGGAGGCTGAGGCAGGAGGATGACAAGTTTGAGCCCAGCCTGGACAATTTAGTGACTTAGCAAGAGCTTGACTCAAAATAAAAACATTAAAAAAAAGGGCTTGGGATGTAGATCAGTGTGAAGGGACTGGAAGAAAAACTGAAAAGAGGACACAAACATTATACAGCCAAAGAGTAACTTGGGCTTACAGCACTGGTCTCTTTGAACACATCTTTCCCTGTCCAGCCTCCAAATAACCTCCACACAAAACTCTGGGCATACGGTAGCTTGGGAGGATTTCCTGGGAAGTCTCTAAAGTCACATACTGTGTTTTGTAAAAAGAAAAAGAGGAACAGTGAAAGCAGGGATTCGAACAGATCTCTACAATGTTCACAGCATCACTCACAACAGTCAAAGGATAGAAACAAACCAGATGTCCATTAGCAAGTGAGCAGATAAACACATATATAACACGATGGATTTTTACTCAGCCACAAATAGAAATGAAGCACTGGCACATGCTACAACATGGGTAAATCTTGAGAACATTATGCAAAGTGAAATAAGCCACAAGCAAAAACCACAAATACTGTGTGCTTTTGCTTAATTCAGTATCTGGAACGGACAGATTCACAGAGACAGAAAGTAGGAGAGAGGTTATGGGGGCGGGAAGGGGGTTGGAAAATGGAGAAATTGCTTCATGAGTACAGAGTTTCTGTTTGAATTGGTGAAAAAGTTTTGCGAATAAACAGTGGTGATGATTACATAACACTGTGAATGTCAAGAACGCCCCTGAATTGTCTAGATATAACTGGTCAAAATAGCCAATTTGATGTTGTGCATCTTTTACAGTTTTAAAAATTCTGAAAAGAGGCTCATTGGCTTTATTAGATCGTTAAAGGGTTCATAGCACAAAAGCAGGCTATGGGCCCCTGATTTATGGGACTTCGCTAGTCACAGTAGAGATCAGAGGCGGTGGCAGTGGGGTCAAAGGGGATGAGTGCAGTGCACTGTGTGGACAGTGTTGGTGGGCAGCTAGAAGGATCTCACTCTGGTACCATTAATTAGTCCGGCACAACTGGTTTCTTTTCTTTCTTCTTCTTTTTTTTTTTTTTTTTTTTTGGTACCGGGGATCGAACTTGGGTCCTTGCACTTGGGCAGCAGGTGGTGAAACCACTGAGCTAAATCCCCCGCCCACGACTGGTTTCTACATTACGAGGAGACTGGCAGTGGGGTTCATTGAACGATGTGTGTATTAGACATCATCCCCAGATACTGTGGGGGAAGCCAGGTCTTTCTGCAGGCTGTGGCCTGCACGGGACGTCCCCGAGGTTCGTGTGGTGGAAGCTTGGTACCCAGAGTGCTGGTGCCAGGAGGTGATGAAGCCTGTAAGAGGTGAGGCCTCATGGGAGGTAATTAGGCTCTGGGAACACCACCCTCGTGGGTGGATTAACGCTGGTGTGGGAGCTCTAGTTCTCGTGGGACTAGATTAGCACCATGAGAAAAGATAGCTGCAGAGTGAGGCCGCCCTATGCCTTGGCTTCTGCACACAACCTCTCCACTGCCCTGTGATGTGGCCGGGGGCCCCCTTGCCAGGAAAAAAGCACCATTTCGTCTGGACTTTCCAGCTACCAGGACTGTGGGCCACCTATTTATTTTATAAGCTACTCAGCCTTGGGCGTTTTATTGTAGCAACAGAAGATGGGTTAAGAGAATGCCCAAGAAATTGAAAATCAGGAGAGTGCTGCAAGACAAACCACGAAAAACAACTAAAGAAAAGTTACACAATAAACTTTAGAGGTCTGGTGATAGAAACGCAGAAAAGGAAGATAGAAGCTGGCAGCAGAGGAGTCAGGATAAGTTGGGGTTTTTCTTGGTACCAGGCATTGAACTTGGGACCTTGGGCTTGTGAGGCAGGTGTTGGAACCACTGAACAAAATCCCCGCCCCAAGTCAGGATACGTTTCGGTCCTGCCTGGCTAGCTGTGTGACTGGACTCACGTACTGGCACAGGACTTGGTGTCTGATGGGGGTGACATCGGTGTTCGTGGTCCCTGAGGAAGAGACCTTCCTTCTGTATTCCTGTTGAAAATTCTCTTCATTGTACACATCTCCATTAATCTTATACAGGAATGAATTGAGTCTGTTTTTAGAGGTGGAACTCTGGTTGCTTTTCTCTGGTCGCACCATTCCTGCATGAGCAGAAAAAGATCACATTTTTAAAAGCAATTTTAAAAATCTAGATCCTCAGCACTTTCTTTTCCTTTTCTTTTTTTGGTACCCGCGATTGAACTCAGGACTTTGCTCTTTCGAGGCTGGTGGCGGCACCACTGAGCTACATCCTTGGCCCTCCTCAGCACATTTTTAAGGAAATAAAATTTCCACACAATAGTATTTTGCCCTTGCATAGCAGTTATACAAAACTCTTTCTCAGTGTGGTGCAATTTTAGACTCAAAAGCACCCTATTGTGAATGCAAGGAGCATGCTATTCTCATTTTCCAAGTGGAGAAAACAAAACTCAGAAGTTCAAACAGTCTTGCCTGTATAGTAATCATTAAAATCAGGGCTAGAACTCATGTGTCCTGCCAGGCAGCCCAAATTCCTTTATATGTGTTGCTATGTTGTAGGAAAATGATTTAGAAGTCAAAGTCAGTATTTTTTTTCTTTTTTTAGTAATAAATTTTATTTTATCTTATCCCTCCCTGTCCCCTCCCTACATACAAAAGCTTTGTTTCCATTTTTCTTTCTATTTTCACTTTTTTCCTTGTCCCTTCCTTCCTTTCTCCCTCCCCCCTCCCTTGTTCCCTTTCCCATTTGAACATTTTCTTCCCATTTCCCAATATCTATTATACATTTTAGTCCTTATTTCCACTTTCAGTTTCTCACACCAGAGAAACAATGCAGTATTTACACACCTGTGCCCGATTTATTTCACTTAAGAGTATGGTCTCAAGGTCCATCCACTTAGCTATAAATGTGTGAAGCTCATCCTTCTTTATGGCAGAGTGGTACTCCATTGTATAAAAAACCCCACATCTTCTTTATCCACTTGTCAGTTGGTGGGCATTTGGGCTGTTCCAAGATTTAGCTATTACAAACTGTGCTGCTATAAACCAAAGTCAGTATTATTCACCAAATTTCACGAAAATGCTAAGGTTAAATTGCTCCAGACACCAATACAGTGTCTTCCAACCCCTTCCATATCTGAAATAGCATCCACCATTCTTTTACCTTGTACTTTTCTCCACAGTGTTTGCCAGTACCTGACTGGACAGCTGCCTATTTGTCCTTCGTTGGCTTCGCTCCATAAAGGAAGACCAGGCAGAAGGACTTTGAGTACTCATGGCTTTGCCCTCAGGGGCCCAAATCCTGCCTGACACTTAGCAGGCCCTCAACAAATCTCTCACAAAGTAATTGTTGAGTGTCCAGGTAGTGGCCTCGTGGCATGGCAGAAGCCAGGAGATGGGGGTTCCGGTCCTGGCTTATTTTCTAGCTAGCTGTATAAATGCAGGCAAGTTTCTTAGAAACTAAATTTCAGGTTCCTTGACCAAAAATGACATGATTGGACAGCATGACCCCAAAAGGTCACTTTAAACTTTATTTAGCTCTTTTGAGAGAATGAGAAGATGGAGTTCATGAAGATAGTCAGGGATCCATCTCTGGGAGAAAGTATAACTACTATTAATCATCTGTGTTTTTGAATAATAAAAAGGCATAAGCTCTGTAACTATCTCATGCAGATGAGAAAAAGTATATGCATATTACAAGGCTATAAAATATATTTACATAAAAATATTTAGACCTTTATAAGATATATTTAAACACTCAAATTCTGTAGATCACACAAAAAATTATTTTATGGGCAAGGCTGTGAACAAGCTTAATGTGTCAGAAACTTTGTTTTCCTTCAGAATGACCGTGTTTCATCAGCAGCTGCAGCAGTAGCAGCAGCAGCATCTGTTAAGCATTTATAATATGCTAAGCATGGCAACTAAATTTTTTTTAATGAATTACTTTGTTAAATTCCTAGAACAATCCTAGTACTATCTCCACTCTTTTACAAGTGGTAAAACTGAGGTTTTAGGAAAGTAATTGGGTCACAGTTATATACTGTATATTTACCCTCAAAACATCAGGTAGCAGTTGTATGCTGGATGACATCCATGAACTAAAGATCACAAATTCAGGAAAGCACTAAGAGAATGGTTTCAGGAATCCAGAGCAGGATGGGAAAGATATTTTACAATACAGTAAAACCTTGGATTGTGAGTAACTTGTTCTGTGAGTGTTCCACAAGATGAGCACACGTTTCTAATACATTTTAACGTGATAAATGAGCAATGTCTTGCAGTAGAGTGGCATGTGATGCTGAAGTCACATGATCACAACTGAGCCAGTGGTTCTTCTCTGTCTCTCTCTCGCTCTCTCTCAGACTGTGGACTGTGGGTGATTGTCTCTCAACAGCAAGAGGTTGTGGAGGAGAGCTCATCTGCAGAGGAGGAGGAGAAAAAGGCAGAGGAATTCCTCACTTCAAATGGGATCAGGGATATGTGTAAAATGTGGGTAACTAAAAAATTTTGTTGAAAAGCATCACTCAAATAAGGCTGTAGTAGTGTGAGTGATGAATCTGTTAAATGACAATGCAATGTCACATTTCTGCAAAATCCTCAAAAGGAGGCAAAAGCAAGTGTTATTGGATAGGTTCCTTGTTAAGGTTATAGGAAGAGAAAAAGATTCCACTGAGTCTCAAGTCTTTGACAAAAAGCAGTAGGATTGTGTTCAAATGTAAGTAACATTTTTCCTCTTTCTTTCCTCCACCCATTGGAATATTGAGCCAATCTTTCTTACTTTCTCCATGTAATCTTACAAATAAACTTCCACCACTAGGGTATACTTATTCCCAGCAATCTAACTAACCTGGTAATCACAGTGAGATGGTAGAAATGTCTATCCGAGGTGAGAGTGAGAGTCTGGAATCCCAAGGCAATGGTGGTGTGAAACAGGCAGCATATGAACAACCCAGGGTACAAGGCTGGTGGTGACTGGCAAAGACTACAGCACCTTGCTTAGGCCCAGGAATTGTTGCCCAGTGTGGCCAGAGCTGGCTTTTTTTCCAGGAGAAGTCATAATTTTATGGAATTATGTGGAATCTTCTGACTTTTTTTTTGGTACTGGGGATCGAACACAGGACCTTGCACTTTCGAGGCAGACGGCGGAACCATTATGCTAAATCCCCAGCCCTCTTCTGACTTTTATTTATTTATCTTTTTTGTTTTTTTCTGACTTTTAAATGTTGTTGGTTACATATTTTTAAGAACATAGTGTACATCTGACAAAATATATCTCTAAGCAGTATATGAGTTCTGTATCAAGATACTTATATCAAAAACATAAAACTATCGTCATCTCTTCCCACGATGAACTATAAGTTTATCTCCAAAGAATTCCTGTAATTCTCTCTTATTTATTTATTTAGTCACTGGGGAGTGAACCTAGGGCTTTCCATTGAGCTACATCTCCAGCCCTTTTTACTTTTTATTTTGAGACAAGGTCTCGCTAATTTGCTAAATTGCCCAGGTCCACTCAAACCTGTCATCCTCTTGCTTTAACATCCCAGAGTGCTAGGATTACAGGCGAGTACCACCAAGTCCAGCTTTCTGTAATTCTCTTTTGAAGCAGAAGTACTTGTATTCTGTCATTGTATAGTTTGGAGATATTATATCCTATTAGTTTACTTATAGAAAGGAGCATTTCATTTTATTGTCTTGTATTTATTTACTCCATATGTATTTCAAGAGGTGGGCCCCATCTACCAGAGTAGGATTTGGTGAGCTTGTCTGCTCTTGAGTTTTATAAATTTCTATTGTATCCACTCAAGGCCTTCATTTATTTCAGATTGAAGAATGCTACTTAACCCATAGTCAAGTAACTTTGTGTTGCACAAAAGTTGAATGCTAGATGCTCTAGGGATACAAAAGAACAAAGCTCTACAATTTAGTAGAATAAAGATACCAAAATATAGTGCTATAAGTGGTGGGGAAGACAGGTTAACACTTACTGCTGGCACGGCCTAAACCAGCCTTTTCTATAGGGTCTGTGCTATTTTCCCAATGATTACACTCATTTTCTAAAGAGTTTAATGAGTTCCTCATAGTCTCACAACAATTAAATAGCAGAGCCAGAATCGGAGCCCAATCTTTCTGATTCCAAAACATGCCACATCTTAAGACCACTGGACCTACAGAGTGGTACTAATAATCCCAGCATGGAGATGTGGGAAAGGCCTCTTGGGGGAAGACACTACTTCAGCTCTATCTCAGTGGGGACAGAGAAGAGGAACAAGTATTTCAGAGAGGGAATAGAATAAGAGGTAATAGGGCCGGGGATTTAGCTCAGTGGTTTCACCGCCTGCTATGCAAGCGCAAAGACCCGAGTTCGATCCCCGGTACCAAAAAAAAAAAAAAAAAAGAGGTAATAGAAGGCAAGCCACCCAACAGTTCTGAGTAAAGTCGACGTTAAGGTCTAAAAAAGTAGGTTGAAACCTGTTCCCAGAAGGTTGTGAATGCAGGGTTGAGCTGGCTTGAACACTGGGATTTTGTAGCTATTTAAAATTCTTTGAGCAGGCCTAATACTGTTCATGGAAATGTGCTTTAAGGAGATGAATTGTGTCAGTGATGTGGTCCAGAGCTGTGGTGTCCAGTGTGCTAACCAAGCCACAGGCTACAGGTGGCCATTTGAGTTTTTTGGTTTTTTAAAAAAAATTCTTTTATTGGTACATTTTAGTATATAATACATTTACGTTTATCATTGGGTGCTTGTGCCTGTACATGATGTATCTTGGTTCTTATTTTTTTTCCCCATTACCTGTGTGCCCTTCACCCCCTCCACCCTTCACTATTTACATAGATTTCGTTACCATTTTGTTTTCTTTTCTTATAATTTTTTCCTTTCCCTTTTTCCCTTTCCCCTTCCCTTTCCACCACCTGTACACCTTTGGACCTTTTCCTATTTCAAATTATCAACTATTCATTTTAATCACTTTAATCCTTATTTACACTTTCAGTTTCTCACACTAGAGAAACTATTTGGTATTTACACATGTGTGTCCTATTTATTTCACTTAAGAGGATGGCCTCA